TCCTTTGAAGTAGTCAGGACAGAGAGAAAAAGGAACCCCTGACGTATCGGGGTCCCTGTCCTTTGAAGTAGTCAGGACAGAGAGAAAAAGGAACCCCTGACGTATCGGGGTCCCTGCCTTTGGAGTAGCCGGGGCAGAGAATAGAGAATAGAGAATAGTTAGTGAAACCATGGTGTAAACATAAAAGTAATTATAAAAAGGGAAACGTTAAACACTAAAGAGTGCCTTTTGTTACTAGTGTGGAAAGTGATCACTTCTAGATTTGGATGACAAAAGTATAAAGAACAACATCAGTTATATTCGCTTAACAAAGTAATCTTGAAAGTTATTCTTCTGTATCTTTTTGCCTGTGTGTGTGCGTCGCTCTATCTGCTGCCGTTGTCAGGGAAAAGGCCCCCTCCTTCGCTGCTCTGGCTGTGAATCTGAAGCAAAGCTACTGCTTTAGGACTTTTGGCTTTTCATAGTTGTTATTCCGTTAAATTTGCTAAATTTGCCATTTGAACATTGTGTTAGACACAGTTAAACGTTTTTAAACACCATTTAGTGAATAAGTTTTTAATATTATATGTTTTTTGAAACCCAAAGATTAGTACAAAAAGCTTTGCTTTTCTTTTTAAATATGCTGCTTATTTTGTGAGTCCATTATTGCATCTCTGATATATTTCATAGCTGTTAGTGAGAATTTTTTCATGTATTTTTTATTTTAGTTACAAAAGCCGTTTTTCAAAAATTTAAATTAGAATCTGTTAAAAGTGATTAATGATTGTAGACTTCGTCTAAAAAAGAAAGAGGGAATTAGGCTGTAAAAGTATTATATTATTAAGTTAAACTACCCAATTCACATGCAAGTGGTGACTTTTGTTTTTGTTTTGACTACACGCCTGACCTTGTTGCTCCTGCTGATGCCACAGCAGAGGAGACTGGTCTAAAATGTGCTCCAATTCATACTGACTTCATTTGAAAAATGCTGCAATTATTTTGAATTAGTAAAATATATGCTGAGATAAATGCATAGATAATTAATCACACAGTGCAAAAGTACATAATACATATTTTAAAGTTTAAGAAGGTTTAAGAGATTTGAGTCTTGTTTTTTATTAAGCGTTTCTGATCTTCAAATGTCATCATTAGTAAGATAATAAGTAATCTTTATTTACATAGCACTTGGGAAAGCCAAGAGCGCTTCAAAATTGTTTAGACTTCAGAGAGAAAAACAATCTCATTCACAATCTCTGTTGTTTTTAATTTGACTATAAGGTTGTTTTCCAGAACCAAGAGCACACACTGTACAGGGTCACTGGACTGCTGGACACTGGACAGCGCAAAGCCCACCCAGCCACAGGTCACAGATCAAAGAGCAAAGGGAAATGCCACCTCCTTGCCCCTCCCCACGCCACTGCAGAGCTGAGTGGGTGTGAGAGAGACCGGGGCCATGAAAGAGAGGTATCTGGAGACATGGGTGGAGCGTCAGGTAGAGACCTAGAGGGAGTTGAAAGTGTGTCCACGTGGTTACATCACCACAGTGTGACCTTTGACACCTGCAGGTGGTTCGAGGAGTCTGGAGAGACAAACCCCAAAATTCAAACCATACACACACACACACACACATACATCTACACACACACATTCACATTTACATATAGATACATGAAAAAGCAGAACATGAGAAAAAAGCATTTTAAAAGTTTACTCCAATGTAAACAAACATTTTTAATTGTCTATCACTTGAATCAGTATTTTTTGAGACCAGAAATGTTCATTTGAATTCTATATTGTCATGGACATAATTGACATCTGTCCAGACACTTTTGATTTGTTGATTTTGTACTGTGTGAAGTAATTACATTGATTAGAATTAGATCTGATAAAAATACAAATTAGAGAAGTAAATTGCGCTTGCTTTTGTCTGAGGGACATTAGCAACAGCATGAATAGAAATTGTGTTAAAGTAGAATCAAAGTGACTTAACCATAGAAAGTAACTACTGCATTACAAGCTGTGTACAGGAACTGTGACACTGCACCATTGACCAGAAGTGCATCGCAAATGACCTGATGTGCTTCAAGTGAAAAGACTGTATCTGGAGATCCTGATGTGCATCTGGAGACCAAAACTATGGCTTGGACCCTACTGATGTCCAAGATGACATCTCTCACTATGACCTGACCTGATGACGACTGAGACTCACCCTCAGGGGACCCTGAGGACCTGAGGACCTGAGGACCTTGGAGAGAAAAACTGGGGAGTGATGTTTATATTTTTGAAATCATACATTGATGAGTGCTAAATGAGAGAGATACTCATGATTCTTTCTTTTGTTTTTGTTTGTCCCTAGCTTCTGGACATCTGATGATCTATTGGACACAGCCATTTGCAGAACAAGAACCAGCCAATGAAAACGTCTATTGCCGATGCTATTGCTACAACCAGAAACTGTGACAAATGCAATATACATGTTAAGTATTCAGACAACTGACAGACAAAAACTTTGACTTTTTTAGTCTGGTAGACTGAGCAACTGTTAAAATGTTTTAAAGTGATAAAGTATGAGTATTGTAGCGTTTTAGTAGATGTTAAATAGTAGTAAAAGAGTAGAATTTGACTTCCTTTGTTGTTCATAAACATATTTCCACATAAGAGTTAAAATAGTACCCTACAATGTTATCCTTTTGATAGAGCAGATATAATATTAGAATCAGAGTTATGTTACAGCCATTAAAAGTGACAGAAGTCACAAATTAGGAATATGGCTTTGCTCAAACTGCAGCCAAACTTTAGAGTCACAATAGTGTAGAAATAGGAATAGATAAATGCATCAACCATAGATGCTTTCAAAAATAGAGAATATTTCCAGCCAGTGCTAATATCAAATGGTAGAGGGACCATTTCACAAGCATTTACTTCAAAAGTAGATAAAGTTAATTACAGTTTATGTACAGTTTTATTAGATACTTGCCAAATTCACTTGTGTTCACACATGAGTCACAAAAACACAATAGTAGATATTTAGATATTGAGAAGTTTCCAGCACAAACACCATTGTAGAATAACTGACCCCAACCCCAAACCTACTAAAACAGATTAGCTCTTGTATAATACTAATTTGATTAATGATGTTCATTCATCCCAAACTGCCTGACAATAATATCTTTAGATAATAAAAAGTAATAAATCACTGACCACTATAGAAGTGTAAATGTTGACCATTTGCCTTACTGTGTTCACAGTTTTATTCCTGAGAATGAGAGTAGACATGGAGCAAAATCCCACTAATAATATGCCACTGATAATTAGAGTGTAAACCACAGAACAGAGAGATTTATGTAAATAGATTAGAATAGTTTTAAACTATAGTGATAGTAAAAGTAAAGTACACAGTCTAAGATTGATAAGTGAAAATAATAAAGTGAAATAAGTGAAGTATAAACAATCAGCATTAGAATAAAAGTATAGAGTAATAAAAGTGAAATTAGCTTTAAATTGAGACTCAGCTCGTTTTTGTCTGTGTTTTGACTGAATCTGCTGAGTTCTTGTGTGTCCAATAGTTTTTGTTTGTTTTTATTTTTGTTTGTTTTTATTTTTGTTTGTTTTTATTTTTGATTTGTTTTTTGTTTGTTTATTTACTTTGTTTTTTGTTTGTTTATTTTTTCCCAGGATAGAGGATAAAATCCACTGATATTGATTTGATGATTATGAGTTTAATGCATACATTTTCTTTGTTTTTAATAATTTTGTAAAGTTTTTTTTTTTAGAATTTTTTTCTTTTTCCACTTTATTGATTGATCAAATTGAATGATCACATGTGATTATGTGATCAAAGGGGAGGGTATTAGTATTAGATAGCAATATGGCCTACGTGCAGGACTGTACAAGGACTCTACAAGGACTCCATGTTATGACTATGATTTGACTGTCTCTTTGTGACACGTATGTCTTTCGATGTGTGACGTGACAATGACTATATAAACTGTGTACTGCCTTTATTCTGTCTGAGAGAAAGAAACAGAGTAAACTAGTGGAACTTGAGAGAAACTTAAATAAACTTCCAGAGTTTGGCACACCACGATCCGTCTCTGTCTGCTAAATCCTAACACTTAATTGTCTTTATTTGCATTATTTCATGGTCTGACAACTCGTGGTAGATGGCAATGACAATTCAAAACAAAAAAGGTGCCCCAACTACAGCCAAAAATAATAACAATAATAAAAATGATAATAATTCTCTGCAACCAACAAAAGTCATCGATCATCAATCAATAAAAAGGCAAGACAAAGTAGAAGGACAAACAAGAGAATCCAATAGAGCAGACAAAGACCGAGACAAGACACAGAAAAGACACAGACCGCCACATGCTGTCTTGGTCTTATTCTAAATTATTTTATCTTTTGCAGACTTGTAAGAAAAAGTCACTATTGGACTCTTTGGGCTGAGAGCTGATTGGCTGAGTGAGGGTGGTCCACTCTTTTCTGTCTGGAAAAAGGATCTAAAAATAAGACGGAGACCAAAAAATGCATGCAGTAAAACTAGTGAAAGAAGAAAAACTGTTTTGAGATTTTTTTTACAGATTTTTGTTGTTTGAAAGTTAAGTCTTGTAGCTTTAACTTTGTATCTTTACAAAATATATATTGTTGTAATTTATTTGGAAGTTTAGCACAAGTTTGGCAGGACTTCATGATCTAATATATTTAGTATCTTTGCTTTCATTTTAAAAGTGCATTTCTCTGAATTTCTCTGTTTTGTTGTAGTTGCTTTGTGCTGTGGTCACATTATTTAATTGTGTGTAAACAAAAGCTCTGTACTTATATTAATTAAATTACACAACCTAGTCTTTGCATCTGATTGAAGTGATCACAGATGAAGTACGCACAGAGTTTAATCAGTCGTGTGAGATATGGTCCTGATTCCAGGAGCCGAAATTCTGGAGTCAGGGGAAAAAGAAGAAGCAACTTCAGAACAAACTAAGAAGTGTGAGAGTTTTTGTGTTCTGTCTGTTCTTCTCTCACTGCAGTTTGAGTTTGTTGCGTCTCCTGCCGCAGAGCAGTCGCAGAAGGCCTGCTGCACACAGCATTGTTGCCATGACAACAGTCATCAGCAGCAGCAGGACGTCCAGGCCGTAGTAGCTGTACCAGGGCATGCTGTAGGCCTGTGTGCGCAGGTGAGCGGCTCCTCTGTGGCGCATCACGTACTCCACCCAGAACAGCGCCTGCTCCATGGGGGACAGGGGCTGGTCCCGGTGCAGGCGGGACAGTCTCTGCATGTTGTCTCTGTAGTGAGGCTGCAGCAGCAGCTCCCTGAGCCTCTGCTTAAAGCTCTGTCCCGTCAGCTCACTGAGGCGCAGGATGCTTCCCGCTCCTCTGACCTGCACACGCAGCAGGTTGTCAAACTGGTCGAAGAACAGCGGGATGCCCAGAATGGGCACGCCGTGGTAGATGGCCTCCTGGATGCCATTGGTCCCACCGTGAGCCACAAAGACTTTGGTCTGAGGGTGTCCCAGCAGGTCTTTCTGAGGCATCCAGTCCACAATCAGAGTGTTGTTGCCCAGAGAGGAGGGCCGCTCCCCCAGATGCCTCCAGATCACCTTCACAAAGAGGAGGTGATTATAGTATCACTGGTTACACTTCTGGATCATGACAACTTACCTTTTGAGGCAGTTTAGAGAAAGCGATGGCTATTTCTTCTGCCAGTTTCTCAGGTAAAGCGTTGACAATACTTCCCAGGGTCATGACGATGACTCCGTGTTCTCCTGCGCTCTGCACAAACTCCTCCAGCTCCAAAGGCAGAGGCTGTGGAGGTTTACAGGAGTATCCCCCGATGTAGATGACGTTTGGCATCGTGGGCCGAGGAAAGTCAAAGACAAAGTCAGACCTGAAGAGCCAGATGTCGGCCTCCTGTGTGAGTGTGATGATGTCACATCCCTCCAGCAGATACTTCTCACAGAAAGCGTTGTAGTCTACAGTGACCGTGTACTGATGCAGCAGAGCGATGCCGTAATAAAACACATTCCTAACTCTCTGGAAGAAGTCCATTCTGTCGGTGAATCCTGAGCCGGTCATTGGGATGAAGGACACAGGAGACGGAGCCAGAGCAAAGTGTCCGTCCATCGTCAGGAACCATCGAGCGTTGAGCACCAGCGGCAGACGCAGGTACTTGGCCAGAATCACTCCCGTCCCAATCCCAGGATCTGTGAGCAGCACGTCATACCTGGCCTCCTCCAGCTCTTTGAGGAGAGGTTTGTTGTTAAATATGTAAGCTAAATCATCAATCCACATCTTATGTATCTGCGTGATAATGGAGAGAAACTCTTGGCTCAGAATTGTCATATCAGCAGCTCCTTCCACCTGTGCCTGAAGTGACAGAAACAAACAATGTGAGGATTATGTCTGACTGATCATTTAAGATAATGTAGAAATACCTTCAGTTGTCGCTCCAAAAATCCACCTAAGAAGTCCTTGAGGTCGACCTGTGACGGGAGGTTGATGGTGGAATACAGAGGGGACTGTTCTTTGATGTACCAGCTACTGTTGGGGCGTATGATGGTGATGGAGTGTCCACGGGAATGAAGCTCCTCTAACATCACCTTCATGTTTATCCAGTGACTTCCATCTAGTGGCAGCACCAGCACCTTCCCCCCATCACCGCACGACAAGAACATCAGGCAGACACCAAGGAGCAAGCCGCCCCTCGAGCCCATCCAAGTGGAGATTCCTGCAGAAGACAAGATATTATTACAGTCCTCTTTAATTTAGCAGATGGTTCGGGAGGGACGAGTCAAGTAAGACTTAAAAAATTCAACCATCAAGTTATCATTAAAGGGCCCCAATCTGTCCAAAGGCATTAATAAAACGTGCACTTTTCCAATACTTCTTTAACTGATATCAATAGTTCAGAGATATTTGAATTTCTGTATTACTTTTACAGACCCTAAATATTGTTATTGTTTTCATTTTGATGTCCCGCCCTCCACCGTTTCACCAATCAGAAAGTCTGTGATCCGGGCGTCAGAACTCACTGGCGCTAATCTCACTGGTAAAGTACCATGTGGCCGCTGCTCATACGCCACATTTTTCTGTCTTTCATTGTCATTCATTCATTCTTAGCGCTTTACACTCGTTACAATACAGGCGCGCTCCCGTGTCGCCGGCGCGCCCGCACACACAGACAACACACACGTGTCCCACCGCTGCATATCTCACACTTGCTCACATTGCTCTAATGCAAACAACGCGTTGAATGCTCGAGCCTGCTAGCTGCAGTAGCAGAATATAAACAGGAAAAGTAGCGAAAACTCAACTCGGACAACGTGGTAGTCGCTGAAGTTTTTATTAGCGCCACCAGCTGGACCGAGCGTTGTACTACAGCAAAGTTGCGCTGGCACGGTTCAGAGGACACGTTCATGTGACCGCGGGCTGTTTTCACACCCCTGTGGCGACAATCCGGGCCACTTGGCCCAGTTCGCTTGTAAAAACCTATGTGACCGTGCTCATAGACTCTGCCTCTTACAGACCAATACCAATGTGTTTTCTATCTCTGCATTTCTTTTGTTCGATTGTCTGATCTTTGTTGGCGAATTCAACAGTTTTGTAAAGTCCTCTGAGAAAACTACTGTTGTGATTTAGGGCTGTACAAGAATAAGAATTAAATTATTGAGTTGTTATGTATATGTTATGCTATGCTTACATCACTGGGCTGTCAGACTGTACAACAGACCAGGCTGAGTCTGCTGCTGGACACCTGAATATCTCTTACGGGGGATCAATAATAATAATATCTATCTATCTATCTATGTATAATATTAATGCAGGACTTACCCATGCTGAGGACTGGCTCAAACCCGCACAACATGCAGTTCAAACTCCAGTGAGTCGAAGCCTGAGCCTAAATATGTGAATAAGTTACAGACATCATTGCACAAGGCATTAGTCCCATATGTGGAAGTCACTATAATCATACGTTATGTGATTACTTTGTTAAAACATGTATTTAAGCTGCATCAAGTAAGTTTTTTATGTGTTTGGACTAATATAGAAGTCTGAGCATTCTGAGAATTAAACATTATAAAAAGGTTTGATAAGAGAGTCAGTAAAAGGTCATTGGTCTAACTGTAAAGACCAGAGCAGAAGCTAAAGCAGTCCTCAAAGTCTGGCCCTTCTCCCTACAGTCCAAAGATAATATAACATACAAATATAAGATAAAATTAATCGATCTGTTCAAAAAGACAGGAAATGTTAAAAAAGTGAAAAGATATAGAGGATCCACTTTAGTTTGGGGGGTTGGGGTGCTCAGAAGCTTCATCCCCCATCAATCAATCAATCATTTATTTGTATAGCACAATTTATGTTTAAGGCAATTCAGAAGACTTCACAAAAGCAATTTAAAAACACCAATCAAAATGCATTAAAAAGTCAATAAATATAAAATTATTCAATATTAAAACAGAGCAGCATACAAGTATTGGTTTTAAAACTCATTAAAAAGTGGGTTTAAAAAAGGAGATACAATTAATAAGTACAAAATAGAATCAGTTGTGTGCACAGCAAAAATGATATGTTTTCAGCCTAGTTTGGAACATGGTCAGGGTAGAGGTCCGTCTCACAACCTGAGGAAGACTGTTCCATATCCTAGCTGTATAGATCTGCCTCCACATGTTTGACTCTCGAACCAGCAGCAAGTAGAAGCCTGTCTCACATTTTCAGGAAGACTGTTTCAGATAAATGATTTGCTGAAGGATTCTCAAAAAGCCGTCTTTGGTACTTCTATCTCCGCACTTTGAATGGACGTTAAGGCGATGAGATAAAAATGTGTCACTAATTGATGTGAAATTTTTGCTTGAGCAATTAATTTGTTTAATTTTCAAATAAACAAATAAATAAATATGTGTGAACGCTCCAAAGAAAGTACTACAACAGAACCAGGAACTGACAAAGGTTCCTACAGCGCAAAAAGTCTTATAATCTGCTAAATAAGTGTTTATTTTACTGGTATATTTCAAAACTGTAAAAAATCTCTGATAAATCACAATAATAATATATTTACTTTAGTCCAAATACAAAAATATAATCTATTTTAGTATTTCTATCCGATAATTGTTCTCCGCTTTATCACTTTCTAGAAGTGGAATGAAAGTAAAGAGTCCATAAAGTTGTCCATTCCCAGTTTTATTTTTGTGGGTTTTTTTGGACGTTTTCATTTCTCTCTTGTGGACATGATGTAAACAAGCAATTAGGAAAAGCTGTTCTTTACATTTGAGAATTCTGAGGACCAGAGAGGGACTAGAGAGAGACCAGAGAGAGTGACCAGAGAGCGACCAGATAGAGACCAAAGAGAGACCAGAGAGAGAGAGACCAGAGAGAGAGAGACCAGAGAGAGACGAAAGAGACCAGAGAGAGGCCAGAGAGAGACCAGAGAGAGAGACGAAAGAGACCAGAGAGATACCAGAGAGAGGCCAGAAAGAGACCAGATTGAAGCCAGAGAGGTGCCAGAGAGAGACCAGAGAGAGACCAGAGAGAGACCAGAGAGAGATCAGAGAGAGACCAGAGAGAGAGACCAGAGAGAGAGACCAGAAAGAGAGACCTGAGTGAGACCAGAGAGAGACCAGAGAGAGACCAGAGAGAGGCCAGTGCCATTTACTTTGCAAAGTGCGGCGATGGCCGTTTGACACTGCTTGCGGCTTTAATTTGTGTTTCTTTCTTGTTTTTTTAAGCCCTTTGAATTGCCTTGTGTATGAACTGTGCTATACAAATACACCTCTTTTGCCTTTACTACATTTCAACACATAACTTGGTCCTATTTGCTGCGAAAACAAACAAACCTGAAACAAACCTGAAACCCATCACACGAGCTCTCTCTGGGTCTGGACAAGCTCATCTCGACTTCAAGGCCCTCGTTACGTCACTGTGTTCTCAACGTGTGCATCGTTAGGTCGCCGTGGTGACCGCTAACGACCCGCACACGTGTTGGGACTCGCACACGTGGATCTGGCTCTTCCCGTCTCCTACCATCAAAGTCTTCAGAACAAGGAGAGAATCAACACCAGGCCATTAGTCCAACAAGCTCCATTACACCTCACACCAGGAGCTCACAGAGACTTTTGGTGTGAATAATATATGGTCCCACATGGTCCAGATACTATAGAAATATTTAACTTTCTTTGATAAAAACCTGTTCACCTTCTTTGTGTGAGAGTAACTTAGTACCAACACATCTTGGCCATGCTGTGCCTGCAGCTGACAGCCACACCTCTTCAGACCTCTGAAGCTGTGGGCCCGTAAAAGGGGAAAGCGAGGAGGCCTGCTCGTGCGTCTTAGGAGGAGAGGAGCGCGCACGGCTCTCCCCGGCATTTTTCTCTCCAACGTACGCTCACTGGGCAATAAGATGGACGAACTCAGCCTGCTCATGAGAAGAAACAAGGACTTCGCCACATCCTGTGTCCTCTGCTTCACTGAGACCTGGCTAAATGAGCGGATCCCGGACTGCGCTCTGGAGCTGCAGGGCTTTGGGCTGTTTCGCGCGGATCGCCATTGTGCGCTCTCAGGGAAGAGCAGAGGCGGAGGGCTCTGTTTCTACGTCAATACAAACTGGTGTAACGATGTGACAGTGATCTCCAAGCACTGCTCTCCTGCTCTGGAATATCTTTTCATTCATTGTAAACCATATTACTCCCCGCGGGAAATTGTTTCATTCATTCTTGCCTCTGTTTACATACCGCCATGCGAGGACGCGCGCGAGGCTCAGCGCGCACTCGCAGAGCAAGTACTGTGTATGGAACGCTTATACCCGGACTCTCTGATTATTATCCTGGGGGATTTTAATAAGGGAAACTTGAGCCAGGAATTACCCAAATACAGACAGTTTATCAAATGCCCGACCAGAGAGGAGAACACGCTGGATCACTGTTACACCACCGTGCGCGGAGTTTTTCGCGCTGTTCCCAAGCCAGCCCTCGGCTTCTCAGATCACTCCATGATACATCTGGTTCCTGCTTACAGACAGAGACTAAAGCTCTCGAAACCTGCAGTGAGGAGCTCCAAAGTGTGGTCTGATGAAGCTGTGGAAGAGCTGCGCGCATGCATGGAATCTACAGACTGGGACCTTTTCAGAGCTGCCACAGACAGCTTGGATGAATATACGGACACTGTGACGTCATACATCCACTTCTGTGAGGATAGCATCATTCCAACAAGGACCAGGGTCATCTATAACAACGACAAACCCTGGTTCACTGCTAAACTCCGGCAGCTCAGGAAAGCAAAGGAGTCTGCTTTCAGGGAGGGGGACCGCAGCGGCTACAAAGCAGCTAAATATCAGTTCAGGAAAGAACTGAAAGCAGCCAAGTCCCGGCACAGAGAACGACTACAGGAGCAGTTTGGTAACAACGATACTGCTTCTGTCTGGAGGGGCCTACGGGAGATCACCAACTACAAACCCAAAGCCCCCCCCTGTGCTGATGACCACAAGCTAGCTGACGATCTGAACTTATTTTTCAGTCGCTTTGATGCTGCCCCTGACACCTCTCCCTCCCCCACCCCCCACTACTCTAACGACCCACCCATCAGCCCTGCCCCCAGCCTAACAATAGCCGCTAAAGAGATTAAACAACTCTTCCTGAGGCTGCACCCCCGCAAAGCTCCTGGCCCGGACCACGTGTCTCCGGCCACTCTGAGACACTGCGCCAGTGAGCTTACTCCTGTGTTCACGGACATTTTCAACTCCTCTCTGCAGTCCTGCCATGTCCCGGCCTGCTTCAAATCCTCCATCATTGTCCCCGTCCCGAAGAAGCCCAGGATCACAGGACTCAATGACTACAGACCTGTAGCACTTACGTCTGTCGTCATGAAGTCATTTGAACGCCTGGTTCTCTCCCATCTCAAGTCCCTCACCTCCCCCCTCCTGGACCCCCTGCAGTTCGCCTACAGAGCCAACAGATCTGTAGACGACGCCATTAACCTGGCCCTCCACCACATCCTACAGCACCTGGACTCCCCGGGGACCTACGCCAGGGTCCTGTTCGTGGACTTCAGCTCTGCCTTCAACACAATCCTGCCATCCCTGCTCCAGGACAAGCTCTCCCAGCTCAACGTGCCCGATTCCACCTGCAGGTGGATCACTGACTTCCTGACGGACAGGAAGCAGCGAGTGCGTCTGGGGAAGAATGTCTCGGACTCTCGGATTATAAATACAGGAGCCCCACAGGGCTGTGTTCTTTCTCCCCTGCTCTTCTCCCTGTACACCAACCACTGCACCTCCAGCCACGACTCCGTGAAGCTGATCAAGTTCGCGGACGACACCACCCTCATTGGACTCATCTCCAACAACGATGAGTCCGCCTACAGGAGGGAGGTGGACCGGCTGGTGTCCTGGTGCAGTGGTAACAACCTGGAGCTGAACGCCCAGAAGACAGTGGAGATGATTGTGGACTTCAGGAAGAGCACTGTCCCCCCGCCCCCACCCTCCGTGATGGCCTCCCCCATCACCTCTGTGGAGTCCTTCCGTTTCCTGGGCACCACCATCACCCAGGACCTCAAGTGGGAGCCGACCATCAGCTCCCTCATCAAGAAGGCCCAGCAGAGGATGTACTTCCTGCGGCAGCTCAGGAAAGCCAAGCTGCCTGCACAGATGTTGGTGCAGTTCTACACGGCCATCATCGAGTCCATCCTCACCTCCTCCATCACCGTGTGGTTCGCTGGAGCCACAGTCAGGGACAAACAGAGACTACAGCGCATGTGTGCGCTCTGCAGAGGAAGTGATCGGCCGCAGCCTTCCATCGCTGCAGGACCTGTACGTCGCCCGAGCTCGAGGCCGGGCTGGTCGTATCA